AAACTGTTCAAATCTAGAGTCAACCATTATCTTCCCCAGTTAACTGCATAAACCATGTCTTTACCTCGAGTGTCACCCTCTACCTTGTGTGCCCCCCAGGCCTTATACAGAGTGAACCTCACCATAAAAAAAAAAAAAAATTGGTGGAGAGGGATTGAGAGATTACATCTTTTTTTTATGTTGATCCTCCAGCAGAGCTCCTTATTTGACAAGATCTGACCAGTGCAACTGATGGTCCTTGAAGCCATGGACATGGGAGACAAGTGTCTCCCTGAAAGGCTACATCTCAGAATCATATAGTAGCACAAAGAGGACAGTAGGATTGTAAAATTGTAGCTTGGTGCATCAGATGTTGCAACACTGCCATTGTGGTCTCCAGAGGGTCTCTCATGACACTTGCAGCCAGCCCATGTCTTCTGTTGATCTCCACGAGGAAGTTGACAGTGTTGTAAACTTCTGAACCCAAGTATACAGAAGATGCTGCTCACTCTTATACATAGCAAGACCCCCTCACAACTCTGTCACTATTTCCATGGAAAGTTCTCAGGTGTTCTGTATTCCTTGGTTCCACCTGTTCTAACCTGCATGGCCTGGACCCGCCAAGCCACACCCATTGTAGCGAACCACCCTCATTCCCCCCGTATTCCATTGGTGAGAAGTAAGTTTCAGTCGAGCAGCTTCTTTCCGCGAAACACTGCTCCGTAGAACCGACTCCCAAGAGGTTGTTTTCCCTGATCACTACAATCTTAGCCTGTTCAAGTTTAGGGTTGATCGTTATCTTCCTCTTACTCTGTAACCCTTGACCTTGAGTGGGCCCCGGACCTTGTACAAAATAAACCTCACTGTAAAAAAAAAAAAAAAAAAAAGTGGAAAAACGTCTAATTATACGTATTTACTAATCTTGGCTAAAGGTATGGAGCATTTAGTGGAAATCAATCTATGATAGTAGTAATTGTCTATTTAACTCGTTCCTTGCTGCTAGATGTAGTTTATCGTCATACCCAGGACGACACCGTTATGGGAGATGATGATGATGATGATGATGATGGTTATTAACAAGGCCGTACGCTGTTCTAACATCACTTGAAGGTTTTCGATGGAATATTACTATTATTATTATTTACACTAGCATCCTCATTATTAATCCTTCTTTCTCCGTAGTCATTTGCAACCAATCTAGGAGAAAAAAAATCTGAATTCAAAACCACCGAGAAAGCAATGGGAAATTTCTCTATTGTCTTTCCCAATAACAGTCAAGGCAGCGCAGATGTTATAGGTCGGGCAAAAATGGCTCGTTCTGTTGTTTATTGGAGCAAGAAATGGCTTGTTTTGTTGTTTACTGTAGCAAGAAATGGCTTGTTTTGTTGTTTACTGGAGCAAAAGTTGCCTTGTTTTGCTGTTTACTGGAGCAAGAAATGGCTTTTTCTGTTGTTAATTGGAGCAAGAAATGGCTTGTTTTATTGTTTACTTGAGAAAGAAATAGATTGTTCCCCTGTTTTCTTGAGCAAGAAATCGCTTGTTCTGTTTTTTACTGGAGCAAGGGATGATTTGTTTAGTTTTTAACTGGGGCAAGAAATGACCTGTTAATTTTAATCTTTTTAATCATTTTAAAAATCATTTTTGATGGTATTGTTTTTGCTTTCCATCAGCATGGCCGATAGTAAGCCCCAGAAGAGTATCTCTGCACGCCTACACGGTTCTTAAGTTTTCCACAGATAAAAATTGGAACACTTATATCCAGTTAGTTGTTAATACTGCTAACAAGAAAGTTAGGTCCGTGCATCGTGCTAGACAATCCTTTTCGCCCGAATCTGCCTTGCAACTTTATTAGTCTGCCATTTCTCCGTGCACTGAATATTGTTGCTAAATCTGCTCTGATGCTTCTGTTATGTGTCTACAAAATTCTTGAAAATTCCAGAAAAGAATCTGCAATCCTGACCTGGAATATCACCTTCAATGACTCTCCTATGCCCTAACGTGACATTGGTCGGCATTTTATATTCTAAATATGTTCATCGCAATTGTTCTAATAAGCTTTCTATCTCGACTTCTCGAATTTAATCGTAGTACTAGATTGGCAACTAGGTCCCACTCTTTTATTGGTGAAATGTAACCGCAAGTCCTATGCTGATAGTTTCTTCTCTCGTACTTCTCGCTTGTGGAACTCTCTTCCGTTTTCTTGCTTCCCTCTCAAGTAGAATCATTAAAAATTCCAATGCCATATCAATCGTTATCTTTTGTCTCCTTGAATTTTCGTCTTTTTATTGTACTTTCTTTGCAGCAACGTTTCCACAGTAAACACCCAGCATCTTGGTGGCTTTATCGCCTTGATTTCGATTGAAATTATTATTCAAAGAAGACGAAGCGGTTTGGAAGACGCACCTTAATATTGGAAAGAAATTTTTAAGAAAAAAGTCATTCTCATACAACACATTCACCCTACGTGCCTCACATACTGGCATCACATATTGTTTACATTAATCACTTGTTCAATTTTGTTTGTATGCTAATGATATACTAGTCAAGAGCAGAAAGGCTCCCACCACTGCTAGTAAACAGAGTATGTTTAAGCTTGTGGCTCAGCTCCAGGAAGGTTTATACTCTTGGAAATACTTGTAACAGCTAAGTACTGAGGTTGCATCATATAAAAGGTTGAATTAGACAGCTAACATTATAGTGCAATGGCTCAACATACAAATACACGTCCCTGTCAGTCAAGCCAATTACATGACCATCCAAGCTTACTTGACCCTGGCCGTTGCCTACATTCGCCTTGGAAGACGCGCGCTTATTTTCAGGGTATTTTTAAGTTTATTGCAATTTAAAAAAAAAGTGCGTCTTAAACGGAAAAATACTTGGTATATATACACAGTATAATTTGTTCATTACCATATATAAATATAAAAAGAAATATATATTCTCGCGTTCAAAACCAGATACAATACATCAAGGTTCTCGATGTCCTCTTATTACGTCAAGGAACCGACGTGAAGATGTGTTTCGTGGTAAAATAACAACTACGGCAGAAATTTATATGAACAAGGATGTCATTCATAACCTAAGGTTTTGTGTAATAAAACAATGGACGGAAAATAACTTTTGCATTATGAATATATATATATATATATATATATATATATATATATATATATATATATATAAATATATATATATATTATATATATAATCCGCGGAATGACGACGGTAATTCTAAATACGGGATGTAAATCAATACGGAAAGTTCAATATAAGAACAGAGCAAAATAATAATAATGATAATCCGCATGGAAACTTTAGAAACCCAATGTAAGAACAGAGCAAATAATAATAATGATGAAAGCAGAAACTTTAGAAACCCATGGTAAAATAAAATATTATTATGGGTTTCTAAAGTCACCGCTTTCATATGGAGTCCACATGAAACCTCAGCAGAATGCAGAAAGCACTGGACGGCTGTTTCGTCCTATATTTGGGACTCATCAGCAGTGCGCATCCTCTACCGAGAATTGAAACCCGGACAGATACGTTATCAGGCAAACGTCGTACCAACGGGCCTCGGTGACATAAATTTAGCGAATTAGACTCGATATAGCGCTGCTCGATCGCATATTCAGGGTTGGAACTCTTCCGAGATTCCCTTACCCCACAGGACTGTGCCCCCGAGAGCCACGTCTACTATCTCCAAGCCGCTCCATCCAGAGCATTTAAAGCGGCTTCCTCTCTCTGAAACTATTCCTCTACTGCTATCTCCCTTCTGGATGGAAGAGGCCATGGCTCCCCACAGTTTCCTTCTCTTTAATATTGCTGATTTGCCACGATTTCTTTGCAGAGATCGTGGAGCAGATTCCCGTTGCTTTATCCACTGTTTTGAATTTAGAGTAGTGTTTCGTCTAGAGGGGCTGCCATCCAAGCCTAAAGAACATAGTTTACTCTGCTATATAACTTATATTTGGAGAGATGGATCCATGCCTTCCCTAAAGTTTTAACGTATATCACCGTTTCCACACTTTCCACCTTTAGTTTTTAGAAAAGAAAAAGCATATTTATCAGATGAGCCACTTCTCTACCCGGCTTGTTTAGTTTGGCAATCTTACATAGCATAAAGATGAAAAATGGTGAATACTTTGAAGCGTCAGGAATGGCCAACTAAATTATGAGAAGCCGACAGTAAGTGGAAATACTAAGCAACGATACTGCACGATGATTTGCACCGGGCCACATCTCGGGTTTCACCGCGAGATTACCGACATCTTGTTTACGAGACGTCGCTTGACAGGCCTCCAGTTCTGTGTCGGAGGAGTTTAATATTCGGTCAAGTAATTTTCTGTAGTCACACTGGAAGTGCTTTTATCCTTTTTTTTTTTTTTTCTTTTTGTTGTTGTTGTTGTTGGACTCTGCTTTTCTTTCTGCAAAAGGTTTCCCCACAATGAATGGTTATCGGATAGTCTACGGATAGAATGTCGTCAATCTAGAGATAAATCACACACTGCTGACCTGTCTTTTTTTTTTATTTTCTTGCCTTTCTCTCGACACTCTTTATCAAGAAATTGCATCCGATACGACGCGTGCCTAGACCGAGGCCCGTGGGCGGTGAGCCGTTATTTCGCTGGTCGGTTTGTTAAAATGTACGTAGAATCCGGCCGTAATTAGCTGAGTCTACGATTAAACATTGCTCAGTATTTCTTGATTGGATGTTTAAAGGCGGACTGAGCGTTGGCGGTGGCAGAAGATAAATCGGATCATTATCTTTTGTCAGACTTCGTTCACATACTTAATCGAAACGGTAAAGATATTTTCTCGTCTGGAAAACAAAAACAAAATAAATGTCGGAATAAATAACGAATTATAAGCATTAAATCACGTATTGATTTTACCTAAAATGGCCGCTTAAGAATAGGAGAATAAAATCAGATACATCTTTATTTCATCTTATTCTAAACTGGCCGCTCTTTTTTTTTTTTTGAATAAGAAAGAGAAATACTTTAAACAATAACACATCATCTACACCGGTTCACGTACGATCACCGAAGTTAAGCAACGTCGAGCTTGGTCAGTACTTAGGTTATCACTTGGGAATACGAGGTGCTGCATTTCCGGGTGATATAATGGATAATGGCTCGGAATTGTTAATCGGAAATCCGAGTTCCAATTCCAGTTGGGTTCGTTATATTCACTAACGCGCAAATATTCTTGGACAAGGTATGGATCCACCGCTTCTCTCCCCAACTACGGGTTAATTAGTAAGTATTACTAAGTCATTATTATATCCAAAAATAGAATAAAATTGTCTACAAAATGTTTAGATTTCAGCATATACTTCAAACAATAACACATTATCTACATCGGCTTCCGTGTGACCACCGAAGTTAAGCAACGTCAAGCCAGCTCAGTACTTATATAAGTTATCGCTTGGGAATACGAGGTGCTGCATCCTGGATGTGCGAGTGGTGTAATGAATAATGGCTCGGAATTGTTAATCAGAGAGCCGACTTCCAATTCCAGTTGGGTTCGTTATATTCATTAACGCGCAAATAATCTTGGGAAAGGTAAGGATCCACTTCTTCTCCCCCGAACTATGGGTTAAGTAGTAAGTATTACTAAGTCATTATTATATCCAAAAATAGAATAAAATTACATACAAAATGTTTAGATTTCAGCATTGAATAACCCATAGCAGTGTTGATATACCGCTAAACTAACCAAACATCCGTTATCTACCAACAGAAGACAAGGATCCTGCTTTCCATCCAGATGCTAATGTACCCGATGATGATGGATAAGCTACGCCGATAAGATAAGTATCCATATTCAGTATGAGAATGATGTTGAACGAAAAAAAAAAAAAAGAATTCTCGACCAAATAGGAGTAGATAGGTTCGCCTATCGCTCGGTTCACACTCCTCCTAGGTTTTTTTGAACAGGGGTAGAGATTTGTTTGCCGTTTAGGATTGGATTTCCGTTTCTAATCTAAAGTCTTTTCATTCTCTTTCCCTCGTAGTAGCCCCCCTTTCGTTTTAGTGGCGTTGTCGCCTGTCTTGGGGCAAAATTATGAAAAAAAGCTACTCAAAGAAGTAAGTCTCAAGATAATTTTTTCCAAAACAGAAACCATGATCGGCAATTGGAATGAAAGGAGAAATAAAGGTTACTCCCCGTCATAAAAATCCTGGGCGTGAATTTAGCAAATACTAAATGCTTCAAATACCGCGGTGTGGGAATTAATTATAACGTGTTTAGTATACACCCAAGGTCCCCGCCCCGGTAATCAGTGGCCATGGACATGATCGCATCCGGTGTAACTACATCTCCAGTGTTAGGCGTTAGGCAGGATCAAGCCTGGGCAGGATGGTACGGAGGAAAAGATCTTTCCCATTCAGTATATCTCCTTTCTCCACGTCGCTGATGGACCCAAAGGAACAGCAGAGCCATTACAATTTGGCACCCAGCGCCATCGAAGGTGCGGCCAGAACGAGGCTGAAATCAGCGACGAACTGCCTCAGGACCTGGTTTTTGTTATTACTTAACCATTTACTTCGTCACAACATTTATAATAACGAAGAAAGTTTAGTTTTTCATTTTTTATTGTTATTTTATTTTATTTATTTATTTTTTAAATTATATTGCAGCAAATTTAGTTTCTTTTCATTCTTTCATTTTTTTTTTTTTTTTTCTTTATTGTTTGGATAGCGAAGGGATGAATTTGTCAATCTTATTATGGTTAAAGACACCTGTAAGTCAAATACTTTTATCTCCTGGATTTGAATCTGATCAATGACTGTGAATGCCTTTGTTTCGTCTTACCTGGTCCTGGGCATTGAAACGTGACATTGGCAAAGTCGAGTTGGACAAAGCAGATTAACTAACAATCAGAAAAGAATTGATCTGATAACCAGACATCTGCTGTTACTTACCATACACACACACACAAACACACACACACACACATATATATATATATATATATATATATATATATATATATATATATATATCTTGAGACGTATGTATCTTAGTTATACACACACACACATACACACACACATATACACACACATATATAGATATATATCTTGAGACATATGTATCTTAGTTATACACATACACACACACACACATATATATATATATATATATATATATATATATATATATATATATATATCTTGAGACGTATGTATCTTAGTTATACACACACACACACACACATATACACACACATATATAGATATATATCTTGAGACATATGTGTCTTAGTTATACACACACATACACACACATACACACACATATATATATATATATATATCTTGAGACATATGTATCTTAGTTATACACATACACACACGCATATATATATATATCTTGAGACGTATGTATCTTAGTTATACACACACATATACACACACATACACACACATATATAAATATATATCTTGAGACATATGTATCTTAGTTATACACACACATACACACGCAGACACACACACACACACACACACACACACACACACACACATATATATATATATATATATATATATATATATCCTGAGACATGTTTCATTAAATAAATTCGCACTTCAGAAAAATTCTTGTTGAAAAGTTTGTGATATTCACTCACACTACCATGTATTCAACTGTGAAGGAAGAATAATATATATCATATTTTTATTACTTCAAAGTTCCCAAGAAAATTAAATGACCCATAAGGAGTTGATGTACCATTAAACAAACAAATCAATCTATATTTGTCTATATTTCTGAGATGAGGTATTATGTACATTATTTACATTATTCGGAATATTGTCCTCATCTTTGCCGCCATATTCAATACAACGTTTCGGCCGTTGTACGCTCCAGCCTTCTTCAGGTGGTTAGGCATTAGCTAGATCCAGTGATAGGACCCAAAGATTGTGAGTTTAATACCCAGGTAAGGCAGTGGAGAACTTGGAGAGGGGAATTAACAGGAGATAACTGATAACTGACATCCATTAAACATGGCACGTGGAACTAGAACAGTCTAGCCCAGCGAGCGAAATAAAGGGTTAAGTTCGACATTCGAAACAACTGAAGAACGCCGGAGTGTACAACGGCCGAAACGTAGTAATAAATATGGCGACAAACATGAGGACAATAGTCCGAATAATGTATTTAGTGTACATAATACCTCATCTCAGAAATATAGACAAATATAGATTGATTTGTTTGTTTAATGGCACATCAACTCCTTATGGGTCATTTAATGTCAGTTATCATTTATCTCCTGTTGATTCCCTCCTCCAAGTTAGGAGTAGTGGTAGTATAAGTTTAGGAAAAAAGGAAAAATAAATGAACACGATACATAGAAAGCATGACAAATTGTCTGGTAATTTCAAACAATTTTATTTATGTATTTGTGCGTACTAGTGTGTGTGTGTGTGTGTGTGTGTGTGTGTGTGTGTGTGTGTGTGTGTGTGTGTGTGTGCGTTACGTTACAATCATGATAATGTTCATGTTATAAAAGGGAGTAAGTTGCTACGTGATATCACAAGTCTTATAACGGAGGCAAGTTACACACGTGTTGTCATCCCGACAGTTCTTGGGCGTAGAGATTGAATCTCACGTATATTGGCGAGATGTCCATATTTCCAACAGGAACGGTTTTTGTTGCATGCAGGGAATAATTTTATTATTTTTATTTAATTTATTTTCAACAAGGTTTAAATATTATTGTCTTCTTTTATTTTATTTCTAATTTTCATTTTCATTATTATTATTTTATTTATTTGCAGCAATGATATTAATATACTTACATATAATATCCCTACCAAATAGTGGAGCTAATCGGTAGTGATGGATGCCTATTTAAAGTGAAAAATTTGTTGAGGAGGTTGTTTTGAAGAGTGCTCAGTTTGTTTGGTTTGCCTAGTGGGTAACTTTTTTCGTGTTTCTTGCTATCGTTTTGTGGTGTCACTGACTTTTTTTTTATCTCTGATAAACGACTCATTCTCACTGATTTTATCTCTCAGAAACGACTGTGGGGTATTTTTGTTGTTGTTGTTGTTTTTTTTAAGTATTTCTTAGCTGAGTGTAATAGACCTTCATTATTTTTGTTTTTATTTAATGTAGCTTTCAGATTATCTATTTCTTTCTTGTTTTCGGCTAAAATAAATATATCGTCTACATAACGAACCTATATTTTAGGTTTAATAACTTTAGTAAAAACCTTGTTTTCAACATAGGACATATAATAATTGGAGAAGCACAGTCTGAGAGGGTTTCCCATACTTACTCCATCAGTTTGTGTATAAATAGTACCATTCTGGCTATAAAAAGGAACTCTAGTGGTACAAGCGAGCAATAGTTTTCTTAGAATATTGGATTGGATTGATGGAGGTGGAATTAAATTATTTTTATACACCGAATTAATGATAATATCAATAGTTTCGGAGACGGGATCGTTAGTAAATAAATTCTCTGCGTCAAGTGAGGCAAGAATGCCATGGTTTGTTTTTAATTTTGTGCTTTTAAGTATTTGGAGGAATTCATGGGTAGATTTAATGCTATAGTTAGTAGGGAGATATGGGGTAATAATATCATTGAGAAATTTACATATATATATATATATATATATATATATATATATATTTAGAGGCGACAGTCTGTTTCAATCTAGATGCAATCCTCAGGCCTGAAGATTACGTCTAGCATGAAACAGACTGTCGCCTCTAAGTGTTGACTTCAATGTTCACTTTTATATTTACACACGCTCTATCTTTGATGTTGAGCACTTTATCCCATAAATATAGCACATCTTAAGACTATATTGTTTTTATATATATATATATATATATATATATATATATATATATATATATAATTATTTATTTTAAAAAATTTATAACATAAATATGTTATAAAATCACTATAAAACTAGCCATTGTGTTTCAACAATTTCGGTGTCTTATCAAGTGATGATGTTGAATGTAAAATAAATGGTTTTAAAAGTATATATATATATATATATATATATATATATATATATATATATATATATATACGCAGGGTGTGGCAAAAGTAGAGCACCATAGACATTAATGGTAAGGTCTAATAGGTTCTGTTGGGTGGCCATCAAAGTCACTAGACGTCACACCTTCGGATTTTTTTTTCCTGTGGGGCCATTTGAAATCAGTTGTTTATCAGACGTGCTCCAGAAATATTGAGAAACTTAAAGAATTAAATATGAATGCAGTAAAATGGCGGAGGAAACTCTCCGACATATTAATGAATGATGCAGGCACAGAATTAAAATGTGTTTTGAAAAAGAAGGAGGCCATTTTGAACAGCAAATACAACTGTTAAATTACTAATAAATAAAATTTTCATGTGTAATTATATTTTTAATAAATTATCCCTACGGCGCGCGTCTTTTGCCTCACTCTGCATATATAAACT